TTGCCAATGGGACAATCCATTTTATTTCCTAATAACTATTTTTTTCATTCCAAGGGAGACATTTCTTGGATCTTTTTATAAACATGATAATTGTGCTTGTCTCATTGGCGAATCTTGTCTTAAGGTAGTCAAAGTGTACTCAAACTAAGCCAAATTTTGACAAACTTACTTTTCATCACTTTTTGCAATGCAGTTATGAAAACAATGATTTTCTGAGTGTGATCACCCCAGCATTACACCCTTTTGATAATATCGTTCCTCAGCTGTTATATTTCCACTCTTCCACACAGCTGCCTGAGGAATGGGTCGCACCACTTATCGCCAGACAGGATTAGTCCACAGTGTGACACGAGGAAACGCACGGTGAAATACGCTCCATCTTCAGCGCTGGCGTTGAAGATCCGAATGGCCTCAGGTTATCAGAGCGGGTGTCCAGTGGCAGATTCATGCCCCAGTGGAATCCAAGGCAGCTCTGTCTGTGTGAACGTCAAACCAAGGCAGACGGTGATTACTGCTCGTTCCCCACCACAGTCAGGCAGTATTTACATGCACACAAATCAAAGTTGGGAGTTAAGCGAGAACAATGGCTGTACTCAGCATTCAAGTCCATGAGGTCTGACCCTCTGTGTTTTTGCTTGATTAACTGATTCTGTTCAATTGTGAAAGTCAAATGTATCTCTGGTCCTCTGGTTCACTCATGGACTGTATAAAAGCCCCCTCATTCCGGCTTATAGTCCTGGGGGCACGTTTTAGGTTTTCGTATTGCCTCTTTGATCCAGCGTTGGCGATGGTCCTCAGCCCCTATGATATTTAAATCGTGCCAATCCATCCTGGCTAAGATGGGCTCGCTGGTCTTTGGCAACTCCCAAATGTATCCAAAATTAATGTTTGGAAAAAGATTTGAGGATATTTATGTCAGTATTTAGTGAAAATGGACTCCACATTGTGATGGACACCACATCACTCTTAATAAATAACTGTTGTATCAAAATAAACCAGCATCCTATTTCCAGAGCTGCAGACTGAGGAGTGGAGAGATTCTCAGTCTGAGGTCATTATTACTCTTACTTCATATAACGTGGATTCTCGTCTTCTATGGTTTTTCTTTTTTCCAATTAAGGAGCTATATTCTGCAAATCAACTTGTTATCTTTTTCCCCAATGTTACAACATAGGTCCTCATCAGTCACAGACCTGAAGTTGTTTTTAAATCCATCCATGCTAATCCCTACTTCTGGCATTGTGTCTAAAAGCTCTTTTTCATATGGCGCTTTCATGCAATCTCAAAAGTTGCAACTTGAAAAATGAATATGACGTTCTTTATAATCGCATGTCTGTGTTTGCAGCCTGAGTTACAGTCGGAAAGGATAATTTTACCTTTCATTTGTTTCACCATATATTATATGGTGTTGTACTATAAAGAATTACTATGAAATCCCTATCCGATATTCAGATAACATAGTGTAAATATGAAAAGAGGAGAACATTTATTTTCTCACAATACCACAAGTATAGCCTTATCCAGGCAAATGTGAAAGTGTAAAATGTGTCTACACTTTAATGTTGTTAAAGTTGCTTTCCCATGGAGTAGTTCAGTGGACCGAAAGCAACAAGGGGCCTGTCGCCTATAACTGGTAGAGCTAACACATGTGGTATGAATTGGATCCAGAAAAAGCTCCAGTTGCCATTTAACACCTCTGTGCTTGTAAGGTATTTTAAATGGTACAAATGCACAACCTGTTTTACTACTGGAACCCCGCGAGGGCACTCACAATCATGTACCGTCCATTTCACTGAACTGGACGTTTCACTGGGATGTGCTTTAAACTTATTTGCTGAGTAGGACAAAACAATCTTGACTCATGCTTTGATAAAACATAGATCAGACGTCTCATCATGTTTGGTTTGTTCAGATTGTTTAAAGGACAAAATATTTTGTTTTACAAACATTTTAATAATAAAACCATTGCTGTATTCTATTGGAAGTTTTAACAATTACATGAAACAAAACTACTTTCTTATAAGTATGCAACTTACAAATAGAACATTATTTACATTTTCATTATATTTTACATATTTAAGGATGGGGTACCTATTATTAAAAAAACGTTTTTATTTTTATTTAGTCATAAAATCCATCCGACATCTGTCTCTATGCCTTGTTTTCCCATGCATTTTTAGCCTCCGTGAAGATCAGGCTTTCCAGACATGATCTTCCAGAGAGGCCCATCTTCTCCCAACCAGCTCTGGCCCAAAAAGTCAAACTGTGCCTCACTTGGCTCTTTCTTACAAGTATGTAAATAATAGCTTGTTTTTCTATATGATGATAACAGAATCAGACCACATTTGTACCCCAGCTTTAAATTCTAACATGTGACGACATCTTACCTCTGCCACTTTGACTGAACCACAATATTGCTAATAGGTATTTTGTCCTTGTGCCAATGTTTTTGTTTTTCTTCCGTAAAAAGACACTTAAGGGAGTGATGAGGGACTGCGTTGACTTTCCACAGGTCTGTCCGCAGTGCAATGACGGACAATAGAAGAACTAAAAACAGGTTAAACTTCTGTGTTCAAATACTGCTTTGTGTTTGGAGCCTTGTGAAGCCCTGTTGTGGCACTGGGGGAGTGGACGCGTCTTCTTTAGGGAGGGGAGTCTTAATCTGTCTCCACACAGTCTCAGGTGGCTGAACTCCTTGATCACTGGAGCAAGAGAAGCACCTGAACGGGCCATCGGCAGGCAGGAAGGGGGGGCATGGGGAGGGGGAGAGGGTGTGATGGTAACTCCATCAGTGACACAGTAACCTGCTATACACACCTCGCTGACTTTTCATTTATCCTCAAAAGACTTCAGAAAACAACCCTTTTTAGTCACATCTGCCTCGCTCCACAATGAGTTGTCTTTGTAAAAAAACATTTGCATTTATATTGAGTTTTGTAAATTATCCATTTAGGTTGTGTTCACTCTTAGTCCCAGTGAACCAGTTATATGGGACCCATTGTGGTTCACTATTTTTGATGGCATTTGTGAAAATGTAACCACCAAACAAGTGTCCCCTGGTAGTTAGTTAGTTCACTTCTTGAACTAGATCAGATAAGAGAATCTTTATGGTCAGTGTTACAGGACGGAAGGAATAAAAGGGACACAAAAGACATGTCAACACAATACATCGCTGTCAATATTAAGAGCATAAGTCAAATCTTCATGCTTAAAAATCTTACCTGAAGAATAATACAATTTCACAAATGACAAAGTATTTTTGGCTGAGCTTAGATCTCCGGAATCAGACAAAGCTGTTCTGATGTTGGGGGCATAAAAGACACTTGTCAGAGAACCTAAAATTATTCACTTTAGGTTCACTATTTAGTTTTGTTTGTGTGGCTCATTAAAAATCATAATTCAAGCAATTATTACCTAATATTTTATAATTTTTGCCGTGTTGGTTTGTGTTAATAGTTTCTCCTCATGAAGTTCCACATTATGCATACAGAAGAAGATTATGAGGTAGGCAAAGGAACACATTTAAGCCTTAGTTGACAACATGGAGATAGGATACTGAATTAGGATACGGAGATTTTAATGATGCTGTTTTCTAAAATAAGCCTTGGAAAATATTAGCCTCCAAAAGCTTGATTCACGACTGCACCTGTGTGCCCTCCAGAGCATGACCTCACCTGTTGTCTCACCACAACATCTTAATTCATGTATACAGTATTTTCACTGCATCTCATTGGTTTTGTATAGTTTAGAGATGCTTCATGCTTGAGTATCCTGACTTGGCATTAGTTGTAAAATAACAGTGACAGTGATGAGAGAGATGAAAAGCTTCATGGGAGGCTCCTAGACCAAGTGAATAACACATCAGGGAGGCAACAGACAATCTACAGTGAGGACATTTCATTAGACATGGCTTCATGTCTAGACCTTATGGCCTGCATCGTTAGATCTTACTTCTCAATTTAGCATTCTATCTGGTTTCATTGCAGGTCCGGGTTAGCAGTTAAGTATCTAACTTCAAAACAGTACAACTTCTGCAATAATTATCTTGTATTCAGAAAAAATACAAAACCATTGACTTCTAAGAGAATAGTCTGAATACAGGAAGAATTAAAGCCTCAATGTTTTATGTAGAGAAAGGAGTTTACAGGAATCAAATGTGTTTCCGGTGAGCCCACCGAGTCTAATCATTCACAATGCTGTGACATTTGTCCTCAAAAGATGTGAGGAACAAGGCTCTTTTCACATGTCCGTCACATTTGTGCTGGACCCTAAAAGGCTGAATGATTAACGAGAAGCTGACCAGATCATGGCCAAAGGAAGCTGACTTCTTCCACTGATCGACAGTGAAGAATGAGGCATAATATACTTAGTACAACACTCTCATTATTGCCTTGAGAGAGAGAGATTGAGTAAATGGTTTTTTGCACAGTGAATGTATCTTTATATGTGTGTGTTCTTTCCTCTTCAAGTTTTAAAGGGGTGAGTTATTTTTATAATATCACCAACTCAATTTCTCCTCCCCAATGGTCAGTTCATGCCTTTCTCGTGTGCACTTTTCCTAGTATAGATCCGTCCACCTCTGCAGCTCTAAACTGTGGTGGTCGAGCCGCCACTCATCATTGGCTCCGGAGCCTATAGGGGCGTTGCTTCGCGGTTGGTGAGTGCTCAGGGTGCAACGGGGGTGTTCTAGGGATGGCTAAGAGAAAGCGCACTTGGCACTGATCCCTCCTTTGAGCGCGGACTGTGGTTTACATTAACCCGCGATTTATTGCAAAGGAAGGGGCAATGGTATGGTTGTATCATAAATAGCGTGCGTTTATAGACGGGTCGTGGATGCATGTTTAGAAATGCGATGAGGCCAGTGCACAGAGCCTCCGCGGATCCCACGACCTGTTGCTGACAAGCCGGTGGAAGCAGCCGAGGAGACGGGGAGAAGGAGGGGGTTACTGCCTTGGAGAGAGAGAGAGAGCACGCTCGGGATTTCTTCGTTGGAGGAAATCATGCAGTTTGCTATATGGCTGGTTGGACTAATGTGTCAGCTGTCAGCGCTGGTCGTGGGCACCCTGCAGCACAGATTGCATCCAAAACAAGGTAAATAGATACTTTAGATGCTTATGTATGAGTGGGGTTGATAAATTAATACATGCATGCGCTTTGCTCTCTTGCAGAAGGCTTCATCAAACAGCTGTCAGTGTATGAGATTGTCACCCCAATGCGCGTAAACGACTTCGGAGAATTATTCCCCCACACGCTGCACTACAGGAGGAGGACGCGGAGAAGTTTGCACAGTGACCTGTCCAGCGCCCGGGTTCATTACAGGATTGATGCTTTCGGGGAGCGCTTTCATCTAAACCTGAGCGCGGACTCGAACTTCATCGCGCCCTCTTACACAGTCACGCACTTGGGATTGGAGCAGAGGAACTCCACGGACCCGCATCCCACTTCTGACCGCGGCGATATGCGCCACTGTTTTTTCCGCGGACACGTCAACACCACGAGCCAATACCCTGCAGTCTTCAGCCTATGCACTGGACTGGTGAGTGTCTTTTGGCTTCCCTTAATCAAAGTCTTATCCATCATGCAAGGCCGTTCCTTCCATTTCAACTGGTCCCATCCATGCGTGTTGGATAGAGGCGCGTGCACGTGTGTGAGTTCTAGTATTTGGAGGAAATGTGTGTAAGAGAAGATGATGATTACACCCCCTCCCATGACAGGATGGACTATCTGCCGCACTTTTTTATGATCACAATCACTATTATAATTTGTCTCTTTATTTTGATCAATTTTTTTATGGTAATGCAAAAAAATAAAAAATAAACACAAAATAAACACAACAATCACGTACAATCAGCAAATACAACAGTAATACATGCCATGAAAAAACAGGAGTAGGATGACGAAATAAAACTTAATAATCTCCTACCCCATTACATTATTATCATCAGTCAACAGACTGTGGTGCTTTAGTCTAGCTGTAGATTTCTTTTGTGACCACATTTGTCAAAGATGCAGCATATTCCATGTAATTGCCTTAAGATGAAAGATGGAGATCATGATTTGTTCTGATTATAAACCCCATATAAACACATTGAACTGTAAATATGGGATTCGAATTGGCTGTGGATTGATGCTAAAGCTCGAGGGTGTCTCTGTTTTTGTTGTGCCGTCCATTTAATGTTTTGTAAGAATCTGTTGGAACCTAGAGTTGCCGGGTTTGGATAGCCACTGAATACTTTTGTTAGTGTAATCGTTCTTTGAGGGAAGATTCTTTGCCTCTTCTCATCAATATAGTACTGCTTTGGCATAGCATTATTTATGTCAAGTACCATTTCTCAAGTGACCAATAGAAAGGATCTTGACTGGATAGTGGCTTTCCTTTGTTCCCCAAGAGAATGCTTCAATACGTTCTTTTCTGGATTGTGACTGGATGACTGAGGGCTTCACTGACAGTGCTTTATGGCTATGATACTGATCTTTTTGACTTGGAGATATAGACCCGTGCCTTGATCATTAGTTTGCTGACTGCTGTTTTGGAGAATCTGATAAGACCTGAAAGAGATGACGTCACGGGTCACATAAGGCTACCAGTCCTGAGGCATGGGGTTGACTTCTAGTTCCATTCTGACCAGGGAGTTTTGGTCGGACCGTGTGTGCATCTTTAGTAGTGAACATATCTGTTGCCATCATTATTATCTACAAAGATTTAATACTGCATATTCAGCTATGACTTTGTTAGTGTGGCCATCATCATCAACGTCATCATCAAATAAGATTATATAAGATAAACTTTATTGATCTCACAATGGAGAAATGTACATGTCACATTGGCATAGATAGGATAGCAAAAGATAGGAAGTGTGCAAATATGGTAAAAGTTCAAATATAGTCTCTTTCGTGCAAGATATATTATGCACATTAAAATCAAGAATGACTATAGCAGTGCAAGTTTTTCAGTCCTAAATAATTTATAAATATACATATGACAAGTCTAATGTTGTGATTGAAAGACAATATTATTCATGGCTTGGTTATCACTTAGGAACAATTCGGCTATGGAAATAAGCCAATGAAGTTAGATGTACTGACATGATCAGCAGGGTTTAGCACAATTAGTAGTGATGAGGAATAATTTAGCACAAAACAAAGTGTCGTTTTAGGGAAAACAGGGCTGCTTTAGTCCAGAGCGTCTCAAAGCTGTCCCCAGGAGGGATATTGGGGGTTGTTGATGGTAGTAGGGTTGAGAAGCTTTTGGCCTTTTCAAAATGAACTCTGACAGGGAGATGCTGCCAGAGAAGTTTAGTGAAAACACAGCGGAAACCGTGGGAAATGTTAGGTTCTCTCAATGTTAGTACAGAACTAGCACAAAGTTCCTCAGAAAGGAAGCGGAAGACAAGTCAAGCTGACCACATCTTCAAAGAGGGAATCCAGGTCAGTTTTACATGTTTGTTTCCTCAATCAATAAGCCAAGTAATTCAAGATAATATACATATTCCAAATGACCATATTGACCCTGAGTTTAAAACATCTTGCAAGCAGAAAGTTTGTTCTAATAATAGACTAGTGGTAGTAATGGTAATGGTTGTAGCTTTGATTTATTGTTTATAGTTTTTATGTCACTTATGTCAAAAGGTATGTCATCAGAAAAATCACGTGCACAGTTGAAAGAAGATTTGAGACCCAACTTGTTTGCACTTCGTTGTTTTTCTTTGCTCGTCCATACACTTAAGACGGGAACACATGTCGCACTCTTCAAAGTTTTGTATATACATGCCAGCTGACTGTAATCCCTCACTCTTCGAAAAATGGAGAGGAAATATACACAAGCCTGTTTTCCATATCCGATTTCCACTGTCAAACATCTATCACTCCCGAAGACACTCGTGGAATAATACTGCCCTAAAACATTCCGGGGTCTAATATCCTGTTCAAGTACAGTGCACAAAATCACCATACAAACAACCTGTGCCTCATGACTGACTGAGCGAAAGAGTTTTCCAAGAGAAACTGCCAAATCAATATTAGCATTCTTCTGTCAATGACTTTGTGTCTTTTTGATGATGTCAGTCTTAAGTCAACCTACAGGGCAAATAGTATGTTTTACGATGAGCCAAACCCCCCCAAAAAACACAGACTTACTGATATATATATATGGTAACATCACATATTTTATTTAGGCCCATGTCCATGTTTGTAGATAAACTTAAATTAACATACGCACTTTCACTATTAGGTTTTAATGCATGCGGAATGAAGAGTGAGTGACGAAGATGTCGAAGTGAGTGACGAGTTTGTCTTGGTGACATGGGGGAGGGCTCTCTGAAATCTTGGTATTTCTGTAAATAGGAAACTTGCCTAAACTCAACCCTAACTTGGACCAAATGAACTGTTTCAACCCTTGATTATAAACTGACTCTTTATCACAAATTCTAAAAAATAAATAGCAGCAAAATTTGAAAACTTCCAAAGGTGCTCCATGAGTCCCGGCATGGAGCACCTCAAAAGCTTAAAAATGATATACATTATTTGGTTGGATAATTTGCCATGAAATTACTATATTTTGCTAAAATTTTTTGAAATATTTACACGGTGGCTGAGTGGATAGCACTCTCGCCTCTCAGCAAGAAGGTCCTGGGTTCGAATCCCGGTTGGACCAGGGCCTTTCTGAGTGGAGTTTGCATGTTCTCCCCGTGTCTGCGTAGGTTTCCTCCGGGTGCTCCGGTTTCCCCTACCACTAAAAATATGTACAATAGGTCTGGCATGTGCCTCCTGTACTGGCACCCCCACTCCCAAAAATCACGATTGTAAACCGCTTTGAGACTCCGATGTGCAGTGAAAAGGCGGTATATAAATAAAGCTTACTTACTTACTAAATTGTTTATTTTTCTGTGCTTCACACCACGAGTTTTCTGAGTGTGAAGACAAACAAACGGGCGGCACGGTGGCTGAGTGGATAGCACTCTCGCCTCTCAGCAAGAAGGTCCTGGGTTCGAATCCCGGTTGGACCAGGGCCTTTCTGAGTGGAGTTTGCATGTTCTCCCCGTGTCTGCGTAGGTTTCCTCCGGGTGCTCCGGTTTCCCCTACCACTAAAAATATGTACAATAGGTCTGGCATGTGCCTCCTGTACTGGCACCCCCAACCCCAAAAATAACAATTGTAAACCGCTTTGAGACTCCGATGTGCAGTGAAAAGGCGGTATATAAATAAAGATTACTTACTACTACTACTACTACAAAACAAATGATGTAATATAATATGAAGTCTACCTCCTTTTTGCGCACAGTCAGCTCCAACCAGGTTCCAGGCTGTTGGTCAGTGTTCAATGCTGCTTACTAGTTACTTACTCGAATCCCGGTTGGAACAGGGCCTTTCTGAGTGGAGTTTGCATGTTCTCCCCGTGTCTGAGTAGGTTTCCCCAGGGTACTCCGGTTTTCCCTACCAATAAAAACATGTGTGGAGTGAGAGACAAAAGCCCACAATTGTAAACCGCTTTGTGACTCTGGTCTGTGAAAGTTGGTATATACATAGAAATTACTTACTACTTACTACTACTTGATTGTTCATGCTTCTCACTGGCAATAGTCATATTCAGGTTCAGAAGGCACCTGATTGGTCGGTTGTTGTGGCTCATATCTGTATTTACAACATCAGTACATAATTATCATGCAGAGCAATATACCATGTATATTTAAGCCCAAACAAAATAGTGTGACACAACGTTATTTTTCAATAAGTGAATGCATTGAGTTATTAATGCATCAAGTTAGAGCAAAAACTTCGTCCATCAGCACTTCCCTCTAAAGCTTCATTGAGCTTCACCATTTGTTTATACCTCCAAAGTATATAGTCCAAATCCCATGTTTGTCACATCAGATTGGCCATGAATTAGTTGATTTAAAAACCCTACACATATTCATTCTCTCTGCAAAATTTTCAATATTTTGTGTAGTTTATTTTGTTGTTTCCCACAGCAATAGATGAGTTCTTGTCCTGGCTACAATCTGCAACTGATATTCATTGACCTTTCTGATTCAGCATGTTCTTTCCACACATTACCTGTCAGGTGGTGCCTTTAACCTTATGCGAAGCCTGAGGGAAGCACTGAATGACAAGAGACAAATTACCAAACTATGCAAAGAGCAGAGTGTGTACATGAACGCTGTCAGTAACAATCATGCTTTTTCTGCTTGTAGATCGGGACTTTTACTACACAACACGGAGAGTACTTCTTGGAGCCCCTTATGCAGCCTGAAGGGGAAGAACTCAACGAAGAACACAACAAACCTCATCTTGTCTATAGACGTGAGAGACAGAGAAATGACTTCGGGTCTGACCTCAAGATGGAGCCCTGTGGAGCCTCAGGTAACAGACTATGGGCTAACCACACTTTTTGTCTGTCTGAATTCCACCACAAGCACAAGACCTGCTCCGTCTGAAAACGCAATCAAACATTAAAACCATAGTTAGTCACGATCATTGGCTTGAGGTTCTCCCTAAAGATTTGAAAAGTGGTGTGTAATTTAGCAAAACTTTCTCAAAAAAAATTCTTGCTGGTTTTCCTCAGAGGGAAGAAATAATTATTTAGCAGTTTGCAGTTGGAAAAAAAATGGCTGGAGTGTTTCATTAGATTTTTATGGTAGAGGTGGCGGAGAGGCCCTTGAGAAAAAAAGCAGGGGTGACCCATGGGAGTTCATAGCAATTGAGGGTTCGAGAGTTGTCTTTGCAAAGAGCGCCGTGGGTGGGCTTTTGTAGGCCGTGCTATAAATCTTTTATGTGCGGACCGCTTGATTTGCTTGTTGTCTGAACCCTGCTATTGTTGCATCCTCAGGCCATTGTGCAGGGTCATTTTTAAAGCATTGGTTACAGCCCTGTGTTATTTTTGATTGAGCCACTAAATATGTTGGTTCAGGTCGTGACACAAGGCGAGATCGTTTCACTTAGATTATCACTTATTCTTGCTCAATGGAGGACTCAAAATACGGTATCAACTATACAACAGGAATTTAAATAATGATGGATGTCTTGGTTTGGTTTGGCAGCCACAACATGTCAACCTGGCTCTTCTCTTTGTTTTCTTACAATATAAAAAGACAAATCACCTTTTGACATATTGTTGCTTTCTTGAGTTGAATCCAGTACATTATTTCAAATATTTACACAGACTTGGTTTTTGGCATAAAATAAATCATGCAATTATTACTGCATTTTATATACACCTTTCACAGAAAAGTATGTCAAAAGTGCTTCAAAACAGTAGTTAAAATGCATAAAGATGAACACAAAACAAAGACCAAACAACGATGACAGCCATAGCTGCCTCTAAAGCTGTTTTCATCCCAACACTTGAACATATAAGAATGTAAGTACAACTTTTGAAAGTAAAATGTGTTCGCAAAATATGCTTCCAGTGTCTGGATCTCCCTTAATCCACAAACATTTTAGAATGAGGGTTATTGTGGCAAAACTCACAAGCTCTATTCCATATTGCACACGCTGGAATGAGTAATGTTGTTGTTTTTTAAATGCTACCCAATCTTGACACAAACATATTCTCAGTGGGTGAAGATTAATCCTTTGCCTCCGTTTAAGGGAGAAGAGGGCTTTGGTTTGATCAAAGTGCAGCAGGTAGACATAAAAGACGCTGAGGGCCTGCGTAAGGACTCGGAGGTGTCCTGAGCTGTGGCTGTCTGTAGTTATCAGATAGGCTCCTCTCCAGATTCACAGATAAATAGTGTCTTTGAAGGCCACACGGAGCCGAGACTAACAGGTCCTCTGCCTTTTTATGGGAAGGAGAGTGGTGCACGCTGCTACTAGCAGGATAGATATAAACACTGGTCTCTGTGCGTGTCATCCTGTCTGCAAAACACTTGTTTCTGCCGCTCTGCTCTTAAATTTAGAATTCTGCAGCTGTTTTGTAAACCATAGTGTCAAACATCCAAACTGGGCTTGCTGCATTCTCCTGTACAACCTAAATATAACGTTGTATAGCTGTGTCCTTTCTCATGTAAAATCATATACAATTTTAATTACAGAATATATGTGTCTATGTATATATGTTTAAGTTAGATATTAGTGATATTTGTGCTGATGGTAGATGATGATGAAGTGATTTTTTTTGTTTCTGAAGTCCCCACCAAATTATAATGGTTTATATTGCTTTGTTTTTCATTCTGTGATTTACGTTATGGTTTTGCAAAGTATTGACATTGTCCCTGTGTGTTGTGTGTCTTTTGTATTCTTACAGTACAGCATGAACCGATGGCCTGTATAGTCACCATAATACTGAATTTGCAGATTTATAATAGAATCACAATGTAGTCACAACTTATCAATCAATCAATCAATCTTTTTATTTCGAACTTTGTTGTCAATCCAAATGCCATGTCATTTCATAATGCATAAAAAAATAAACTTTGTACACTCTGTACTTCTATTCTCATTCGAAAAAACAAGGAAAAAAAACAAAAAACAATAATAAATACAAAATATGAGAAGCAATACAAAATTGCAAAAAACAATACAAAATTGCAAAAAACAAAACTAATACAAGATACAAAAAAAAAAAAAAAAAATGACAACAAGAAAGTTCGAAAGGGAGTGGGAAGAAGTAAATACTTTTTAAATCCCACCCCCAGTGCATAAATGTTTGGTGGTTGCTTATGTTGTTTGTGTAGTAGCTTAACCTTTATTATATACATCAATAATTCTAATAACTCATGCGTAGCTTTTAATTCAATAACTTATACTCTGTTCATGTACAGACTCAAGATTGTGTTTTGCAGATTTTGACACTTAATAAAATACAAATACTACATGATTTAGTAAAGAATCAACATACACTGCAACCCTTAGCTCCGTAATACTGTTATTGTGAGTAAATGATGTATGATGGTGTTGCTACTATATGACTATAGTAAGGATTTTCACTGTGTACTGTACTGTTGTAAAAGTTTTTCTTTATACTTGACTTTAAAATGGTATATGGTGGGACATTGTTTTAACTTCCAATCCAATTTATTCCACAGTCGCACACCGCACACTGAGACACACATACTTCTCCTCGTGGTTCTTACAGCATTTGGTATAAGTTTACCATTTCCCCTGAGATTACGGCCATCTTCTCTTTCTATAAATTGAGATTGAATGTTGGTCGGCAGAGATTTTTTACTGGCTTTGTAAAGCAATTGAGCTGTGCAAAAATCCACCAAATCCACAAATTTCAATAATTTAGACTGTAAGAAGAGTGAATGTGTGTGTTCCAGGTAACTCGTCTTGTGGATAACTCGTACTGCTCGCTTTTGAAGTAATTCCAATGTTCTTATGGCAGTTTTTATAATTGTTTCCCCAAACTTCTACAACATATGATAAATAAGGATAAACTAAACTAAAGTATAGGATGTACAAGGCGTTATAGTTGAGTACCCACTTTGCTTTATTTATAATAGCTATATTTTTCGATACTTTCTTTTGTATGTAATTAATGTGAGATCTCCAGTTTAAGTTTTTGTCGATTATTATTCCCAAAAATTTGATTTCTGTTACCTTTTGTATTACTTTACCATCAATAGTTATGGATATATTTGGGTTTTCCTTGCAGTTACCAAATATAATTACTTTCGTTTTTTCAAGGTTAAGTGATAGCTTATTATTATTCATCCATGTTTTAATTTTTGCCAATTCCTCATTAATAGTGTTTATAGCGTCATCATAACAATCATCTGCATAGAAAATGTTAGTGTCGTCAGCAAATAAAATCAGTTTCAGTAGTACAGATACATTGAAGATGTCATTGATATACAAATTGAATAATTTCGGCCCCAATATGGAACCTTGTGGCAGTCCACATGTGATAGTTTTGCATGTAGATTGGTACTTACCCATCTTTACAAACTGCTGTCTCTCAGTTAAATAACTTTTAATCCACTCCCCTGCTACCCCTCGGATCCCATATTTCTCTAGTTTTTCAAGTAAGATTGTATGATTAATCGTATCAAACGCTTTTTTCAAGTCAATAAAAACTCCAACGGCAATTTTTTCTTATCCAATGAACGTGAAATTTCCTCTACAGCATCAATAATGGCCATAGAGGTCGATCTTCCAGGTCTAAACCCATATTGTCCGTCATTTATCAGGCAGTGTTTTTCAATGAAATTTTCAAGTCTATCATTGAAAACTTTCTCAAGGATCTTTGAAAACTGTGGAAGGAGAGAGACAGGTCTATAGTTAGTAAAGATGTGCTTGTTACCAGACTTAAAAATTGGAATTACCTTAGCTGTTTTCATTTTGTTTGGAAATAACCCATTTTGCAGTGAAATGTTACAAATATAAGTTAATGGTTTTGTTATGCAATCTATGACTTTTTTAATTAATCTCATGTCAATATCGAAACAGTCAGTGGAGCACTTATTTTTACACTTACAAACAATGTCTTTGATTTCAGTTTCATTTACACCTGAGAGAAAGATACTTTTTTGATTTCTTTCAATTAGTGATGGGTCTCCTTCATTTTCAGGGATTCCAGCGGCTAAGTCTGGTCCCACCTTTACAAAAAACTCATTAAATTTGTTTACCACATTTTGCCTATTGTAAATCTCGTCATTACCATCAATAAAATACTCTGGGTAGTTATCTGTGATATTGGCCTCATCTTTAAGTAAGCCATTAATCACATTCCATATTCCTTTGATGTTGTTTTTGTTTTGATTTAATAACTTTTCAAAATACAGTTTCCTACTCGCTCTTAGTATTGTAGTCAACCTATTTTTATATACCTTATATTTATTTTCAGCTTCCATGGTTTTTTGCTTTCAAGAACTGTTTATACAAGTTATTTTTTTTTTTTACAAGCATTTTGTAATCCCCGGGTCATCCAGGGACATTTGACAGTTTTGTTCTTTCTCTTGTATCTTCTCACAGGGCAATTTTTATCATAAAGGTTACAAAATATATCAAGAAACATGTTATAAGCTTCATCAACATTCCTTTCATTTAGTACACCACTCCAGTTTTGACTTGACAAGTCACATTTCAATTCTTCAATACTATTTTCAGATAGCACTCTTTTGTAAACATCATTCTGAGTGTTTGTGCTCTTCGTATTCTTATGGAGACATATAGTAAAAACAGGTAGATGGTCAGTTATATCACAGATCATTAGTCCACTTAATTTCAATAAATCAATATCATTTGTGAAGATATTATCAATGAGAGTAGCACTCTGTGAAGTGATTCTACTCGGCCTGGTGATTGCAGGAAATAAGCTCATACTATACATAAGGTTAATAAATTCATCCGTGTTTTTATGTCCATTGGGATTCATAAGATCTATGTTGAAATCTCCTGTAATATACATTGATTTATTT